GGACTGTTCCACTATGGAGCGGCTGGGGGGGGCGCCAGCGCCGTACATCTACCCAGTCGTTTTTCACACTAAATATTGCTTTACTTCATCTCAGGTGTAAGTACAAGTACGTAATTGATATTATGCCTCGTACTTTGGGTTTCATTAGATCTTAAACATTTCAATTTTTTGCGCTAAATGGATGATTTTTTTAGGATTTCGTTAAAAAAGTCGATAATTTATGGAATTTCGGTGCGCCATATTTTAGTCAATCACCGAGCAAACCTGGCTACACGTATTACGCAATATCACCGATTTTTACATTTTTCGACGAGAGGAATAAGATGAAAAATCGTGCTTTTGGGATTTTTTAATTTCTGACTTTAAGTATAGTTTTTGTCGACAAATAGGTGAAAAAATCGACTTTTTTGGCTATTTTCGCACTCAATTACCTATAATTCAAAATCAAGAGCATTTTTCAAAAATCGCTAAAGCACGATTTCGGGACAACAGTGACAGTCATTTTGAGCCGTAAATGGGGTATGTTTGACTCTCCATGCTTCAAGGTTTGAACGAGTTTTCCAGACATGTCATATCTCCCCAAAATGTGCATTGTGTTATTCATACAGGCGTAAAGAATCATTACAGTATTCAAGGTCACCCAAGGATACGACAGTAGCTTCGCTACATGTTACATGTCCACAAAAAATGATAGCGGACATGTACTGTCCTGGAAACTGTTTGTATTTATAGAAAAGTGTTGTTTTTTTATCTGTTGCGAGTTACTCAGGCAGAACAGAAGGGCTTGTTTTGCCGCTTTATTGCAAATGACCGCAGGTGACCCCGAAATGGAACGCGGGTTCGATTCGAATTGCCCAGATCGAACACGATCGAACACAGTTCGGATTCTATGAAATGTGGGAACTTTTCAGCCCAGATTTTACCACCGTGTCTGGCATCGGTGTTGGAAGGATCTTACATCGTCATATTTACGGGCTTCAGCCTCGGTCAAAACAGCATTATTGCTGACAAATTCAGTCTATTTTTAAGTAAGATCGCTTGTTTGTTAAAATTGTCCGAGGCTATTTGGTTTATTTTTGGACGTATTTTCTCTAGAGCTAATTTTCAACGAAAAATTGAAGAAAAAATCAGCTTTTAGCTATTTTTGACCCAAAAAGTTTAAGATTCCTACTTCTTAACCAAAATAGCCACGGACAAATTTATTCTATGAGTGGTAAGCTCTTATCTTGTGGAATATAGTGACAAAAGCTGCTGTCCTTGCCAAGGCTGGGGCATTTGAAATAAACTATGTATTTTTTAACCAAAATCTATATTTCTAACCCAAAAATTCTGCATATGACATCAAATTTCAACAGTATCTAGTACCTGTCAAACAGTACTGGCCCTCTGTGAAGTTTCGTCTCGATACGACTACGCTGGGCAAAGTTGTAAGGATGTAAGTGTTTTAGTATTAGTTACAGTCCTGTCACAGGCCTTAATTCACCTGAGCACCACGAAGTGGTGGTGAACCCATATTGCTTTTTCTGATGTTTCTTCTCCTCCTCCTCCTCCTTCTCCTCCTGCCATTTTTTAAATGGATTCAGCTTCTTCATTTTAGGGCCTAAGGTCCTGAAATTTGGTATGGAGGTACAGTGGGCAAATACCCCTAGGCGTTTTTTAAATTTTTGTGATACAGGCTTTTAGAATGGTTTTATTTGAGTTTTTTGGCTGTGTTATAGCAAATGTATTACTGTGTTAGTGTGCCGTGTTTACCACGTCTGGGCATGAGTCATCACATTGGAATGCAGGGCATCAACCAATAGGCATGCAGCTTTCCTCTTTACTTCTTGCTGATTGGCTGTTGGGATTTAACTTGATTAACACCTGCACAGAGCATTTCCATACTGACAGTATGTCTTTATTCAAGTGTTTTGGTAGGTATTTCAAGCTTTTCTGCTCCAGCATTGGAATGCGGGGCATGAACGTTTTTTATTTATTTTGAAAATCAACAGTTTGCATTATGCAATTAAAAATCCTAACCAATAAAGTAGGGAATAGCTATCCAACTGTTGTTTTAGTTGTATGTTACTTCATATTATAGTTATATCAATGTAAATCATTGTTTTCCCTTGTGTTTCTCATTCTTTCCCTGCCATGTGGTAAAATGTGGTGAACCCATCGCTGTATTTGCTCCAAAGCAAATATTGGCCTTTCTAGTGTAATCTGTATTTATAACATGCTCTTTCATCTTCGGTACAGTTTGATTGGATTGCATTTTTCACTGAATCTTTCTTGATTGTTCTTGCTTGAAAGCTGATGCAGTGAATATGTATGCTCACCAAAGCATGTGTTTTGCAACATCTTGATTTCTCCATGGCCATTTGGTTACAGTTTTCCGAGGTTTTAATAGTCTTGTTTGTGAGCTGATGTAGTGGTTATTTATGCTCTTCTTACATTTGTTTTGGCAAAAAAAGTCTTAAAGCGTGCTACCTTTTGCATCATCATTTCATGACACCTACAGAAACCTCTTTAGCAATGCAATGGAATATAACCAACATAGGGCATACTTACATCAGTTGGTAAGGGAAAATACATGTACGGTTATTGTACTACCTTTTTTCTTAAAGCAACAATGAAGCAAAACTACATTTCATTGGAGCAACCTTTTCCTCTTGATGTTATCCTGATACACAATTCCAGACTCCATGTATTTTACATCAAAACGCAGAAACACGGTTACAACATCCCTTCTAAACGAATAAGTACATGGTTGCAGTTTTCAGTCATGTTTTCTTGATTAATCTTGCTAGTGAGAATATGCAGTAAATTAACGTAATATACTGGTTTGTTCATGTCACCAAAAACCTCCCCTGGTATAGGCTATAGCATTATAATATAAGGCGATGCTAACTACATGAAAGGTTCTTTTTCAATT